CGTGGGGCCTGAACTCTGGGCCTGGGCACTGTCCCTCAGCTCTTCAGCTCAAGGCTAGTGCTCTACCACTTGAGCCACAGCACCACTTCTGGCTTTTTTGTTTTTGCTTATGTGGTGCTGAGGAATCGAACCCAGGGCCTCATGCATGCAAAGCAAGCGCTCTACCACTGAGCCACCTTCCCAGCTTATTTTTCTATTCTTAAACACCAGACCTAATGTTAGGCAGATTTTTCCTATTTAGCTTCTCAAGAGAAGCTAGATCTATTCTGGGAATTTACAATTATGAATTTTTGAAAATCTTTTTGGCTTACTTATTAATTCAATGAGAGTAAACAGAGTATTGCACAAGAAATCTGAAGGAGAGAGGAAGGTCTCATTCATATTTTAAGTACAGAAAGTTGGGAGAACAGCTACTTGGGCGCCCCCTTGGGACTGAATCTTGTAAATGTATCATCTTTGGGATAAATTAATGTCTTCAGTCAACATATCAATATTCAACCAATACTCATTAAGAGTATCATTATCAAATACAACATTCAACAATGGAGTCACAAAGATAAATACAGTCAAGTTACTTAAAGTCAATACCTAAGTCCAGTAAGTAGGCTATCCATGAAAAGCAAGAATCATCTATACAATCCCTGAGGAAGTCATGACATAGATGACAAATAGGCTTTCTGAAAGCACAGAAAGCAATTAATTTAGTATGGATACACGTTATTCATTATTTATGTAAGCTAAATGTTAACAATCTGAAAGTTTAAATACTGAAGAGGTTTAAATACTCTTTCCAACCAATACATGCAAATTGTGGTTATTTTCAAAGATAAGTGTTTTTTTTTTTTTGTTTTGTTACAGTGCCATTTCTTTTGGGCCAAAATATATATAAATAAAGCTTAATTTAAAAAAATGTTAAAATGACAGTACTGGATTGAAAAAGTCCAGTACAAATAAGCAGGGAAAGTCACTCCCTAAACCTCCACTAAATATTTTCTTCTAACAGCAATACTTACAGAAGATACTATATCAGATTTGCCTTTTCCTTCTCAGAGAGCAAGCAATTCGTGGAGCAAAACTACTTCAAGAGATTAAGTATCAGCTTCCTTCCAACTAAGCCCTGTCCCCGACAAGATATCCATCCTCAAGTTCTACAGCCAAAACTCAAGAGATGGACTTCTGGCTGTGGTACACATCTGTAATCCCAGCACTCAGGAGGCTGCAAGTTCCAGGTTAGCCTGGGTTACATGATAGACCCTGTCTCAAAAAACAAAACAAAACAAAAAAACTTGCTGCCAGCCTGAGATGAAAATCAGTGCTATTTCCCCAAAGAAATAATGCTACTTCAGCCCACATTTCAGGTACCTTGAGATGAATTAGCCTTGGCATGATAGATAATAGTTCAACAACAACAACAACACACACATTTATGAGAGAAAAAAAATGCAATTTCAAAAATTACAGTCTCTTGGCAATTGACTTATGATCACATGTATAATATTGAGCCAAAATACGAGAGGGAGTAAGATGTGACATGTAATTGCTGAAATTTTAAATAACTCATTATAGACATATCTCATGGTAGAATCTTTATTTTAACAGAGTAAAGTAGGTATTTATGAGACATATAGCTTATTTTTAGTACAGTGGAATAATGAATATTATTAGGTTGAGTGTGTATATTTAAAGACACATGATTCAGAAACAAAATATTTAAGTGCATTTAAATATAAAAGTCATAAATCAAACTTTAAATCCACTTCAAAATAAAAATAACTAATACAATAAATCAATAAGTTTGAAGTGGAGAAAAAATTATTTGCATGTGTCTGTGTGTGCCAGATATTTTACCTCATTTAACATTTACACGTGCCATTACAAAGCTACCCTTGTAATCCTCATTACTCAGGAATTGAGACCTAGAGGACTGAGGTTTGAAGCAGACAGGACAAAAAAGTTGTGAGATTCCATCTCCAAAAAAATCAGCCAAATGCCAGACCACTGGTGTGACCCCAGTGGTTGAGCACCAGATGAGCAATAAGTTTGAGGTCGAGTTCAAGCCCCAGTACCAGCACCAGAAAAAAAAAAAAAAAGGTACTGTATAACTTAGGTTCTTCTATTTTCTCCCATTTTACAAAGGAAATGAAGCTATAAATAGAAACTTTTCTGAGACTAGAGAAACAGTAATGACAGAATAGGGATTTAAACCCACATCTATTTGAGTCTAAATTATTTGGTCTCCTGCTTCAACCTCCCAGGTGCCAGGACTACAGGTGTGCACAATATCAGCAGTCTTTTAAAAACTGAAAAGTCACAAAAATAATAGCATGTATTTCTTGTTTGGTTGAACTAGGTCCTAAAATGATCAGTAGCTATAAATACAGTTATAGAACACATCCCACTTTTCCTGGATACTCCAGAGATAATACAATATAGGACAGGAGCTGATTGTAGGAAGGTAGGAGAGAAGTAAAAGCCCAGTGAATATAGGACATGTCAAACTGTTTTAGAATGTTCCTGGGTCAAAAACGTCTGTTGATCACTGAATTTTCAGTAACTGGGGGGTATTTTGCCCCACCACTGGTTCTTGGTGTCTTGTTTTCCCATCCATGCTACCCACTCAGCCTTACTCAAAGTATCCCTGCATCTAACAGTGAATCTACCACTCCACACAGAAAACTGTTGACAGAATTAAGTGGCAAACCTACCACGCCTTAAAGCAAAGCAAAACAAAGCAAAAACTAGTAACACCACCGTGGTTAACATTTGGGACATTCTCAGTCAATCTAGGTGCAGAGCCCCATATCTTAATACTGGGAAGCAGTGAGGCTCGTTGAGAGGAAGTGACTCTCCAAGGACAAAGCGTGAGCTGGCAACAGGGCCAAGGGTTGAAGCCTGAGTTGGTAACTGCTAGGCGGTATGAGCTCCAGGGCTGTCCCGGCCCAGAAGCCTGGGGTGGGCGGGGCCTGGAGAGCCCGCAGGACGTGCGGAGCAGGACCTTTCCCGAAAGAGCTCCCTTCTGGGGGTACAGGCCGGTTAAACGCCGACTGGGAGGTTCCGGGCCTGCGGGAGAGGACGCGGGCTCCCTTGCTAGTCAAGCCCGCGCTCGGTCCCACCCTGCCCTCCGTGAGCCGGGTCCCCGAGGCTGACCCCACCAGAACCTTCTTCCGGCATCCCCCTGAGACTCATCGAGTCTCCAAAATGTCAGGAAGGAGCCGCGCGGGAACAAAGCGTCCGGGAGCAGTCCCTCCCCGCCGCACAGAGGACTGAGCACCCCCCCGAAATGAGCCGCGCGCGGGCGCCCCGGTGCCGGGACCGCGCGGACGGCGCGGAGGCC